TGTTCTTCCCCTTCCCCACCAGTGCTTCCTTTCTACTTTTCTGGATTCCATAGGTATTCCATGTCGAACACACAAATCTAAAGATTTTATGTTAATATTCGCAAATAAAATGTTTGATTCTCTGGGTCTTTGTTACATCACTCAGTGTGTTTTCTTTCTTGCTAAATAAAATTCCATTGTGCCTAGGGGCCAAATTTCCATTATCCACTTATCGATTGATGGACACCTAGATTAATTTCATTTCTTAGCTGTTGTGATTTGAATGAGAAACATTTCCCCATAGACTCATTCACTTAAACCCTTGGTCCCTTTTGGTGTTTCTGAGGATGCTAAGGAACATTTAGAAGCAAGAGTATGGCTGGATGAAGTACATCTCTGTGGACAGGCTTCGAGGGTTTTATAGCATTGCTTTAGTTCCTGCTGCCCTTCTCTGCTTCCTGTGAATGACTGAGATGTGTTCTTTCAGCTGCCTGCTCCTGCTACCCTGAGTTCTCTACCATCATGGACATCTAGCTTTCTCAAACCATCATCCGAGATAAGCCCTTTATTAAGCTGCTTTTGGTCATGGTGTGTTATCACAGTAACAGAAAAGGAACCAGCTGTTGTGTTGAGCACACTAGGAATGTGGATGTGCACTTGTCTCTGGAGTGGAGAACAGGGTCCCTAGGTTATATACTCAGAAGTTGTCTAGCTAGGTCAGATTGTTACCTAGTTGTAGGTTTTTGAAGAACTGCCACACTGATTTCCAGGTGGCTCTAACAACTGGTGCTCTCATTAACAGTGCATTGGGGTTTCCAGTTCCCTACACTTCTAAAGCATCTGCTGTCTTTTGTTTTAATATGACTTGGGTAAAATGAAGTCACAACATAGTTGTAATTTGCCTTCCCCTGATGCTAATGGTTGCAAACACTTTGAATTTTGTCTTAGCCATTTCTATTTCCCTTCATGAGAAAACTTTCTTTATGTCCATAGCCCACTGTTTAATTGTGTTGCTTTTGGTATTTAAGATTTATTATATATTCTAAATACTCATAGTTCTGTCAGATGTATGTATATATATATATATATATATATGGCAAAAATCTTTTTTTCATTCTATAGGCTACCTATTTAATTGATTTACAGGCTCCTTTGCAGTACAGAAACTTTCTAGATTCATGAAGTCACACTTCTTGATTGTTGCTCCTATGTCCTGATTTATTGGAAATCCTATTCAGAAAGTCCTTACCTGGGCCTGTATCCTTCAGTGTATCCCCTACTCTTTCTCCTAGAAGTTTTGGAGTTTTGGGTTCAATATCTATATTCTAATCTATTTACGAATGATTTTTGTGCAGAAGGACCAAGTTTCATTCTTCTACATGTATATATTCCATTTTCCCAACATAGTACATCAAAGATGTTATCTTTTTCCATATGTATTTTTGACATCCATATCAAAATTCAAGTGACTGAGCCAGACATGGTGGCACACACCTTTAATTGTAGCAAAAAGGAGGCAGAGGTAGGTGGATCTTTGTGAGTTCGAGGCCAGCCTGATCTACAAATTGAGTTGCAGAACAGCCAGGGGGTATTACACAGAGAAACCATGTCTTGTAAAACAAACCAACAAACAAAAAAGTCCTGGAGAAAATAAGGACACAGGGAACATGGTAAAAGCAGTACAAAGAATCCCACAACCAACATCATCCTAGCTGCAGAAAAACTCAAAACATTTCCGCTAAAATCAGGCAAGAGACAAAACTGTCCATTCCCCCTTCTCTATTAACATAGTACTGAAGTCTTAGCTAGAGCAAAAAGACAAACAAAAGCCACCAAGGGGATGCAAATGAGAGGAAGAATCAAAGTATCCCTATTTGCAGATGATATGACTCTATATCTAGTTTAGGTGAGAAGTTAGCAGTTATTTTGACAGGTCTGCCTTTGTTTGTGATTTGGCTTTTCTCATTTGCAGCTTTCAGGATACTTTCTTTGTTCTGTACACTTAGTGTTTCAACTGTAGAAATGTTTCTTTTCTAGTCCTATTTGTTACTTTGTGGATGTCTTATACCTGAATGAGTGTCTATCCCTCTCAATTTGAGATTGAGTGCTCTATTCTGTCTTCATACACCAATAGTCTATCTTCTACATGATCATCCTATTGGTGAAAAATTTGCTGAAGATTTTATTTGATCTAGTGTGTTTTTCATTTCCATCACTGTTTTGGCTTGAGTTTTCTTAGGTATGTCTATCTCTTATTAAATTCTATTTTCACATCATGTATTGATTGCCTCATTTCGTTCAGCTGTCTGTGTTCCCTTTGAAAGTATTTGAGTCCTATTTGAGATATTTTTACATATGTATAATTACTGTTTTGATTCTGCACCTGGAGTTTTGTCCAAGTCATTTTGACTAGGGCTCCTTTGTATGGGGTTAGTTGTTTTGACTAGGGGTCATTTGTGTGGGGTTGGTTGTTTTTGGACATGATAAGCTGTTTTGGGTTTTCATGTTCCTTGGGTTTTTGCACTGGGATCAGCCTTTTGGGGGTTACATTGCTGGTTAAGATTTACTGTTTTTTATTTGGTTGCCTCTTGTCTTCCAGTGAGTTCATTTGTAATACTCAGGAAAAACTAGGTTGTTGCCATTGTGGGGATGTTTCCAACGGTTAGACTAGCGTTCCAGGCGTCAGGCTTTATCTCCAGTCTGAGGGTTGACTACTGTCTGAAGCACCAATCACACTACCCAGTAGTTAAAGCACTCTGATAATGGGGTAGAAAGTGCCTACAAAGCAGACACTTATTAAGTACTGATTACTTTAGGGAATAAAGGAGCCTTAATGCTACTGTGCATACTGATATGTTAGTATGAGTAGAATGGGAAAGAAAAGGAGGAGAGGTAAATAATCACAGTGGGTCTAGTGAGAGTATTCTGTTGTTAACACTGGAAGTAGAGGAAGGGACATCCGTTGGAGTTGGAATATTTGGAGCAAAGAAAAAATGAGGTTAATATGTGGGAGTTCTGATTAATGGTAGCCTAAAAAGAGACAGTAAGGATGTGTATCCCAGTGCCATAAACAGGGTCAGCCTCTGGGCTTTAGGAGATGTAATCCTAAGGGATGGATATGGGGGAAAAGGAAAAAAGAAAGAAAAGGAGTGTGTAAAACAGCAAAAGGTGTGAACAGTAGGGGACAGTGTTGGCCTGCTAGAATGTCTACAGCGACAGATAAGAAATAGCCGTAGAAGAGGGAGGCGAGTTGGATGGAGGTCCTGAATGTTAATGCGTGTTCTCTTTGTCATAACCACTGCTTTTCCTCCCTGGTTCCTGCCCTGGTCATGCTCTGGGTTGATTTTTACCAGTTCAGTTCTTCCTCTGTGGGTTCCCCGATCGTCTTGTGTGTAGACTTCCCTTGCCTCAGTTCTGTGGACTGTGAGTAGCTAAGGCAAACCCCATCTAGCCACACTCGCTGCCTTCACACAGGACAGAAGCAGCTGGTGGCTGGGTGACGCCTACAGCACTGTTTAGAGCTTCGCTTAGCTTCCATGGCTTCACCTTTTCCTGCCGGGGCACCGATGGTGGCCCTGGCAGTGGTCACTGGGAAGCCCTTCTGTGAAATGCCTACCAACACCACTTTTGTGGATATCCTGGTAGGGTTTGTTTAGTCTGTTTTTCATGGAATAAAATGTCCACACGGTGGTGGTGGCTGCACTGGTTATAATCGCAGCAGCAAGTCCAAGTCACTAGTGGAGATATTCTGTCGGTCCCATGGTGTTTGAGTTTTGTTGGGGTTTCGATCAAGTAGACACTAGGACTGGAGGAGAAGGTGACTGATAAGATGATAACATATTTCAATTCTTTTAATTGCTGACTGTGATAAGCTGCACACGCTCCAGCATGGCTTCTCATCCACCATCTTACCCAGAAGTCCTGCTTACTGCTTTCATTTCCGGCATGATTTCAGTGTGGCTTTTCTTCACTAATTTTATGTCTTTATTAAATTCTATTTTTATATCTTGTACTGACTTTATTTTATGTATCGCTCTTGTTCTCAGAAAATATCCTTGTCTTCTTTGAGATGTGTAGACTCACTTATAGTCATTCTTTCCACTTCTTTCTCTGGAAATTTTTCTCAGTCAGTTCCACTGGGGTCTAGTAGCATGGGATGAATCATTTTTGTGGAGATATGTTTTCCTGGATTGTCACATTATTTTTATATTTCTGCACTGAGACTTGAGCATCTGAAGTTAGTCCATTGAATTAGAAGTGTGGGCTGGGGGCTGATACTCCAGAGATTGCTTACATTTCAGGCCTAAGAGTTAGTGGATCCACAGAAGTGTGGCCAGGGCTCTCTGGGGACTCCTTACCTGTGGACTTCAGAAACTACTGGATGACAGAAGCTTGTTCTGGGGACTTGGGGTACTAGGTCCTGTCAACACAGAGTTCAGGGGAATAGCCGAATGCCCAGGACCCAGGGACTGATGCCTTACCTGTCAGTGCCTAGGAAGGTAGAAGGTTGGACATGCTATCTTCTGTCTTATAACCCAAGCAGTACACTCCCTCCAAAATATTTGGGTAATTTTGTTCTTCCTAGTACTTTTAGGAGCAAAGATTCTTGGCCCATCACCTACACTCTCATCTGAGAAGGACTAATCCCAAAAAGACATTTCCTTGTGTCATTGTATTTATATTGTATTAGGTAGCCCTTGAACTAGAATTGACTGACCCAATGTGTAAATTCTCTTTTATAACTATCACTAAGAAATGCTAGTAAACCTGTCTCAAGTCCATCACTTGGGAAGTGGGGTGAAATTGGACTCAAGTGTGAACGGGATATATTTCATCATATGTACAGGGAAAATAAAACAAAGAAAAAAGAATGGGAAGTTGGAGAGAGGACAGGGAAGGCAGGATATGTTTCAAAAGTGAGACAGAAGGAGGGGGAAGATGAATATTGATGCTATTGTAAAAGACAAGGGCTCTAGACCTCATGATTTCTATCACATATGCCATCTACCTCGTTTTTCCAGATTCCTGTGCTCAGCAGTGGAAGACTTTATGATTGATATTGTAAAGGCCTGGACCCAAATAAAACAGAACAATACAGCAGTGGAGTCTGTGATTTTGAAAGTAAGTTTCCTTTCCCAGTGTCTCACCTTTGTGGGAGCCAGGACTCACTTTTTCCAGTAAAACAATAAGAAATCATAAAGTATTGGCAAAGGCGAGTAGCTGGTACATCTGCGTGGGAAAGCTCAATCTCCTCCCTTCATCTTTGCCAAATGAAGACTGGTACTTTGCATGCATATACACATGCATGCACCTAGATATAAGCCAAGAGTCTGACCATAAATAGACACAAGTGTACATTAAGCATCAGTGAGTGGAGTTAATATACCAAAGCATGCATGAAAATCTATGCATTTAAACCCACAAAGGGTGGCAATGCAACTCAGTTAGTAGATGCTAGTTATCGTGTGTTCGGCCACAGGTTCTAGCCCCAGCACATATGCATACGCTAGAAATACGCCAGGCTTGGGATATGGCTCAACAGCTAAAGTACTTCCTGTGAAAACGTGAACACTGGGGTTTGGATCCCCAGTAAGGGTGAACATGATAATTCCAGCTCTGGAAAGTGGAAACAGGAACCCCAAGAACAATCTGGATTCAGAGACCTTGCTCAATGAATATGGTGGAAGAATGATTTGAGGATAATCCTGACAGTGACCTCAGACCTCCAATCCCCTCCCCACACACAAACACTCAGTCACTCGTGTACATGAGCATGCACACCATGCACACATTTAAACATAGAAAACACACACCTCCTGTAATAGTACCTAACACGTGACACACACTTTGCATCAGAGCTTGTTCCGAGTGCTCTAATGTATCATGTTATTTCATTCTCACAGCTGACCTAAGGCATGGAGGGACAAGGAGGTCAAGAAACTTGTCTCATACCACAAACTACTAAAGCAGCTGCTCTCAACCTGTGGGTCACGACCCCTTTGGGGAGTCAAGCGACCCTTTCACAGGGGCTACATATCAGCTGTCCTGCATACCAGATATTCGCACTGTGATTCATAACAGTAGCAAAACTACAGTTATGAAGTAGCAGCGAGATAACTTTATTGTTGGGGATCACAGCATGAGGAACTGTATTAAAGAGTCACAGCACTAGGAAGGTTGAGGACTACTGAGCTAAGTTAAGCTTAAATCACATCGCAAATCCACATCCTTGAAATATGTACCTTTGAGGACAGACACAGACACTATGCAGAGGTACACCAGCATCCATAGGAGCATGCCTATGAATATACTTACATGAAAATGTGTTTATTTCGTCATTTTGTCTATGTTCCACATAAATTTAAGGGCCAGCCCGACATGAGAAAGGCTGTGTGAAGCATGCATAGGTACCAAAAGCTGCTCAGAAACAAAGACCTGATGCTTAATCCCCTAGTCATCTTTGGGTGTCAGAACAGTGTGGACTTCATCACCTCACATACGGATTTCTAGGTTGAGTGTTTCTGGCCTAGTATTCCCTTATCATCACTGTTCCTCATTCTGGCCTTTGTAACAATATCCCATTTTCTTCTCTACTCTGTAGAGTGACTTGATGTATGATAAACTCAGCATCATTATTGATATCCTGACTGAGGATGAAGAAGTTACCTCTGCTGAGCGACTAGCCACAACATATGGAACCTCTGAGAAAATAGAACGAAAGCCCTTCGTCCCTCAAATAGACCACGTCACAAAGTCCAAGCTGGAGTTGGCTGTAAGGGCTCATGACATCCAGAAATCCTTGAAGCTCATCATATTCCAGGTGGAACAAGGTAAGATTCTTAGTGCTATTGGCACTAGGAAAGATGGGGAGAAGTGCAGGTTTCGCCTATGAATGGTTTAATGATCTCCTTTAGTCTGGGTTTGCTATCTGGTCTCACTGACAGCACTTAGCTGGATTCGGTGTTCAGGTTGCCTTCCAAATCAGTCCTCTGGCTGCTGATTTGAAAAGCCCCAGTATAGATAATGCTGTCTCTTTGACTTCTTCTTCCCTAGCCTTCAGTTCCCATTCTTACCTATTTTGGGAACTGACACTCATCCTTAACAGCTACACATGATGTAAGCAACACTGCTGAAAGCTCTGTCAGCCTCACTTCTGGCCATGGAACCTTTTCTATCTTTTCCTGCCATTTCAGCAGCCAAGGCTAATCAGCAGCCTGTGGCTATTTGGAAAAAAAATGGTGTTCATGTTTAAAGGACTTGCACCATGTAATCAGGCATATGGATCCTGAGATTGATCCCACTGACTTGCCAGTAATTGCCATTGCCCAGAATTCATGACACTCTCCAAACTTGCAGCTTGGGATGACGTTCTAAACTCGCCCAACTTTTTCGTCTAGCATTTTTGATGGCCACTTCATCTCCATAATGCTCCTTTGGAAAATAAATAAAGAAGATGCTGTGAGATAAATTGCATTCTAACTGAGCTGTTAGAATTAAGCAAAAGTCCCCCCATAACATGAATTCTTTCCTGCTAGCCTTTGGTGTTTATCCGTGGCACCTTTCCCTGCCTTGGTACCTTTAGAAGAAACCTTAGCCATGTTTCTAAGAATAGACAGCTCCCTTTTGTACTGTTAAATGGTGTGGGATTCCCCTCTGTATGCTGCGAATACCATTGTTAATAAAGAAGCTGCTGTGGGCCTATTGCAGCACAGATTAGGGCAAAGAGGAATTCCAAGCAGATAGGGAAGGAAAGAGTAGGCAGAGTCAGGGAGATACCATGTAGCCACCAGAGGAGGCAGACGCTGGATGGAAGGCCACAACCACGTGGCAACACACAGATTAATAGAAATGGGTTAATTTCAGATATAAGAATTAGCCAGAAATATGCTTAAACTATTGGCCAAGCAGTGTTGTAGTTAATACAGTTTCTGTGTAATTATTTCAGGTCTGGGAGGCCGGGAATGAACAAGCAGCCTCTGCCAACACTGGAATAATTAAATAATCTTTTTCTGTTTCTATAGTTAATTTTCAGGGATTAAACAATCATTTTGTGTCTCTTTCTGTAGTAATGAAGATAAAATTAGTTTGACTTCCCCATGGCTCTGTCATAACCCATCTTTACATGTTCCCTCAATACATGTTACATAAAGACTTGGCAGTAAGGTAGTGAATGAACATATGAGCTTTGGCACAAGCTGAACACATGAGCTGTACCACTTATGGGCTCAACACATGCTGAATACATGTGCTGTGCCACATATGAGCTGATGAAAAGGATAGTAACATCTCAGATGTCCTGGGTAGTGGGGTGAGGCATTTGAATGAAGAGCGCTGGGCCAGGAAGATGGCTCAGCACACAGCATACTCACTGTGCTCAGCTAACAACCTGAGTTTGAATCCCCAGAACCCATGTAAAAGCAGGATGTGGTAACAGACACGTCTGTAAACTCAGTGCACCTCTGTGGGGGAAATGGGAGGAAGAGACAGGAGAATCACTGGAAGCTTGTGGGCTAGCTTGGTGTACACAGCAATAAACAACAAGAGATATCTCAAGAAAGGTGGAAAATAAGAACTGATTCTGATGTTGTCTCTGACTTCCACATGTATGTTGTGGAATGCAAGTACCTGCACACACGCAAACACACACACACACACACACATCATACACATAAACCATGCATACACACATTTCATGTACACATGCACACACATGCATAGCATAGTCCTAGAGGTTCGAGTCTGAACAAATGGCATGCGAGTGTATATGCTAACAAAATAAAGGTAGCCAGGAATAGTGATTTCCACTCAGGTGTGGAAAACATAGCACCCCTCCCAAGCATCTACTCACAACTGTGTATGCTGTGGGGGTGACAGAAAAAGAGTCACAGAGAAAACAGTATGGATCTTAAGAGACTTGGAAATGACGCCAGAAAGAAGGAGCAGAACAGACATCATGATGGAAAACAGGAGAGGAGTCTACCTACATAGCAAATGCCCAGAAACTGTTGGATAAATGTGACCGGTCTCCCGTTCTCTCATCTCCACTTCCTTCCCTCCTTCTCTCCCTCCATTTCTTCCTTCCGCTTTTCCTCGGTAGTTCTGGATGAAGAAAGCAGACAGTCCTTATCAGTGAAGAACTTCACATCGACTTTCTGCCTGGAAGAAGATGACTCAGAGGAGTTCAGTCAGATGAGCCCGCGACACCGTAAGGATCTTGGTTCTCCCATTCTAGCCTTTGCTGCTACCTGATTTCCAGGGAAGAAGTCTGTTTGCACACATCCGGCTTTATACGTGAGCCCACTCGGGACTGGGGAGTCCTCACTCTTGTCTAGAAGCTCTGCACTCAGTCACACCAGTGTCCGCAGCAATGGCCATGTTAGACACTTGGGAGCTAGTGCTCTCATGAGAGCTGTGATCTGAATTTGTTTTTCCTGCCAGGCAGCAAGCACCTCAGCTTTACCCTCTCTGCAGTGAAAGTCCCTCTCCTTCTAAAAGGATCTAAGGGGCCTCTGTGGTGTGAGAACCCTGAGATTTATTTAGATTAAAAACCACTGAGCTTGACTCGAACCTGCCTGGGAAAGTATAACTAATTACAAGTGGGGAGAAAGGCTTTTCGTTCGCATCTGTCTCCAAGGTGATGTTTTTCCTGTTTAGGTTCTTATTGCAGCACCTTATCGTCTTTGCTGTCTCTCCAAAGTGAAGACCTCAGAAACCTTGACTTAGATTACTTACATTTTACACCTGAAACGATGTAAGTATGCAAGTGGATGACCTCTTAATGGCTTTTCTGTCTCTCTGGCTGGTAGCACAGTCTCACCATATCCAGAGTCAAATTCTGATTCTACTTAACTAATTGTGTGACCTACTCAATTCAAATGGAAGGAAAATAATTACTGGACTTTGCACATAAGCTTGTTCTATTTGTTGCATCTAAACGTGAAAAGTACTTGCACTGAGCTGTGTAGTTGATACTCATACTTAAGTGCTGTATGCATTAGCAGTTACTATCATTATAAACACATAACATGTTATTGTTCAGAGGACTTATTTTCTCAGTGTTACTTTTAATTGTAAATAGTTGAAAGTACCAAAACCGGTCATATAGGGGACAGGATAGAAAATCCAAGGACACTTATTCTCCCAGTCCTACCTCTCTAACAGAGCCCAGCAGCCAAATTCTACCACACTTAGATCACTGGGGTGGGATATTAGGGAAACCCTGATTTCTCACTGTGGTCAAGGGAGGTGAAACTGATGGACGTTTAGTGATTCCTTTAAATCCCCCTATGCTTGAACAGCCAAACTGTACCCTTTTCAGCTTCTCAAAAGAAGGACACACACAGCAAATGTTCCTTAAATAGTTTATTTACGAAAACAATTCTATTCCGGTGTCTGACAGTCCCCTCCCCAAATCCTTCAACTCCTCATTCATGGCTCATGGGTCTGCCTTGTGGGTTGTGATAAGCACTGGCAAATGTTTAACACCAGCTGTGCCAAAGGATTGACTGATTGATTTCTGGTGTAAGCCCTCCCACCATGGCCTCGTCCAAGCAACTGAGATGTCTTTGAGTGCGAAATTGGGAATAAGCATTTCAGTTTTCATGGGATGATACAAACTAGTTCTAGAATAGTCTAGTGCTGCTATTGACACCCTAGATGAATACAAAAGACTGGAAACTGCTTCACTGTTTCACTGCTGCTGTCCCTCCTTTACCAGACTTTCCTCACGAATGTGAGATGTTTTCTGGTGGGAAACTGCCACAGCGGAGTCGGGTACCCCTGCGAATGGTCACGTAGACTAATGTATACTCATCAAAATACATTCGCAACTAAGACACACAAAAAATAGTTATGAGAATGTGGAAAAACAGGACTCATATCTGAGGTCTACAAATATAAATAAGATTGCAAATTTTGCTTCTTTAATGTGTGCCATATCCCTCTAAAGCTTCCAGACTAAGGGACATTCTCCAGTTCTAGGACATGTCCCAGTTCTAAGGGGCATTCTCCCTTAGAACTAACAAGTTACTCTTGGACACAAAACGACTCTCTATATACCTTCCATGAACTGTATGGCTTGTACCCAGTGGAGGAGGCCTTCCCTTAGTGGTGTTTTTTTTGTCATGCAGATGAAGTCTGATGTCTGTAGCAGTAGTATTTCTTTCCTGCTTTAGTGTCTGCCTTCTTCCCTATCCAATTTCAGACGCTTCAAAGAAAAGTGTGTCATGAACAACTACTTCGGAATTGGACTAGATGCAAAAATTTCTCTGGAGTTCAATACCAGAAGAGATGAACACCCAGGACAATACAAGTAAGGGGAAGAAGCTCAGCTCTCTGTATAAATACATATAATCATGATACACATATGTATTCCTACATCAAACAAACAATGAAAAGACCGAGGTCCTTGGGAAATAAGTGCACTCGTCTCAAGACTAGCCTAGTGCAGACAGTGTGTCCTGAAGGCTGGGTTGCTCTGTGATAATCACCCTGCCATCATACATCCGTACTTCCCTTCAGTAGTTCACCCATGTGGATTTCTGTAGAAATATAGCTATCTCTGTTACTGCTGTTGAGAATAGATTGCATTAAGCTTTATGGTGCTTATAAGAGATTAACTGAGTCCTTGTAGGGGCTCCAAATCTATTTTTACTTGACAGGGCTTCAAATATCCAAGCTACTTCTATTGCTTCTTGGCATTCCAGATTGGGTCCTGTGGACCCATTGATTAATATTGCCCTACCTGGCACTTTCTGGTAGTTTTAGCTTACAGATATCCCTTAAGGCAGCTTCACATTTCTTATAAATTAAATGTATAAGTTAAAAGGACTACCCCAAGCCTGCATGGGACTGGCCTAGCCCCTCTGCATATATGTGACAATTGTGTAGCTTCGTCGTCACTGGGAGCAGGGGCTGTCTCCGACTCTTTTGCTGACTTTTGGGAACCTACTCCTCATACTGGGTTGCCTTACCTAGCCTTAATACAAGGCAAGGTGCCAAGTCTCACTGCAACTTAATATACCATGGTTGATTGATATCCATGGGAGGCCTGCCTTTTCTGGATAGAAACAGAGAAGTGAGTGAGGGGGAGAGGGGAGGCAGGAGTGGGAAGAGAGGAGGGAGGGAAAACTGGTTGGGATATAAAAACAAACAAGTAAATATTTTTAAAAAGGACCACCCCACCCCTGCCACTGCCGCTGCCACTAGAATCTCTTTCTCAGAAAAAACCTGGGATGTGGACAAAGTATGTTACCAGATATGTGATTTACAAAGTTTATTAGTGTCCTTTCATTTTCTTAAAGGTAACTTTTTAAGTATAAAAATTTTGAATTTACAAGGGCTCATTATTTTTTTCTTTATGGACCATGTCTCTGGTGTACTAATCTAACTCATGCTTTGAAAGTGTTGTTTTCTTCCAAAATTTTATTGCTTTGGCTCTTATTTTTAAGTCTGTGATGTATCTTGAGTTATGATTATTTGGGAGATGTATGGTGTGAGTTAATGCTCGAAATTCATCCTTTTGCATCTTTAGTCAGTGTTCTATTGCTGCCATGACCAAGGCAGCTCTTACAAAAGAAAGCATTTAATTGGGGACTTGCTTACAGTTTCAGAATTTTAGTTCATTATCATCCTGGCAGGGAGCATAGGCTGGAGAAGTACCTGAGAGGTATATATCCTGACCCACAGGCCAAAGAAAGAGAGAAACACTGGGCCAAGTGTGAACTTTTGAAAACCTCAAAGTGTACCTACCCCCACCCCCCGGGGATACACTTCTTCCAACAAGGCGACATCTCCTCCAACAAGGCCACACCTGCTAATCTTTCTAAACCTATCAAAGTGTTCCACCCCCATCACTAAGCATTCAAATATATGAGCCTATGGGTGGCATTGTTAGTCAAACCACTGTAGACACCTCATTTATCTATGTATCATAATTTTTCAAAAAGTTACCATTTTCCCAATCGTGTCACCTATACATACATCAGAACATGGGCAACCTACCAGAGAGGATAAAAATAAATTGAAGTGTATCCCAGAAGAATTGGTTGGGCAGGTGAATAAGAGATGGCTACAATAGAAATATATTGATGCATGTATGAATTTCTCAAAGAATAAATTTAAAGTATAATTTCAAAAGCAAAAGGCACTTGAAAAATAAGATATGTTCCCTTCCTGTCTTTCCCTACCCACTTACCTATCTCTCATTCACCTTCTGACTATCTTTTTCTACTCCTCTCTCTGTAGTAGCCGCCTTAAGAACAAAATATGGTATGGTCTTCTGGGAAGCAAGGAACTGCTGCAGCGCTCTTACAGGAAACTGGAAGAACGAATACAGCTGGAGGTTAGTAGAAAAGGGCCTGTTTCCTGGGCACGGAGCAAGGAAATCAAGTGACCTCAGAATCACCTTTCCACTATATCTTTAGTTCTTCTCAAATTAAACTCTGGGAGCCTCACTCACAGCCATGGTGACAAGGCATGAGGTTTTATTTCTGTCATATATAAGAAAATAATAGTATGAAGAGAAGCTCCCCCTCATCTCTGTAAAGGATCGTTGTGTTGGTATCTGAAAAGTCAGGCAATAAGAGCGACTCTTTTCTTTCAGTGTGATGGAGAACCCATCTCCTTGCCGAACCTTCAAGGCATTGTAGTGCTCAATATTACCAGCTATGCTGGAGGTGTCAACTTCTGGGGAAGCACCACAGCAACCGCGGTGAGTGCGGAATGAGGAATGGGGTGGGAAGGGGACATGACTCTCCTAAGTTATCTCGAAAAGGATTACTGGACTGGCTAGAATGAACGTAGACAGGGGGGGAAGATGAGATAGGCTTTGAGTCCGTATTAGCAGTGTCTGTAGGTTCAGCTTTTTAAAACAGTTGCCATTCCAGAGCACGAGAATCGACCAGAAACTTGAGAATTATGTCACGTGATCCTGGGTTTTGACTTCCCCTTTACTAAGGCCCAAAAGACACTCAGAAGATCACCCCCAGAGGCCATATTCTTCATCCCTTAATAGTATGTCAGTGAAAACATCTCCCGGGAAGCCAACCATGAGCTCTTTGCTCTGAGTTCATTTTAGAAGTTCAGGAAACTGACACAAGTGGCCGTGGGGATTCATGATGCTGGACTGGACAAGAAAGGAATTGGCTAATTTGTGATCTCCAAAGGAGCTCACATGTATTGCAAGCACAATTCCCATTTCCAAGCTTGGCTTCCTCACGTTAATTTTTCCCTTTAGTATGGTTTTCTCACTTCTTCATGTACTAGATATACTAGAAAAAGTTTTACCAGTAGTCTTCAAAGCACATTTATTTATTATAGACAAAGTATGGATTCTTGGGAGAATTATGACATGATTCTTGTTCCCTAGGAATACGAGGCCCCCGCGATAGATGATGGGAAGCTAGAGGTGGTGGCAATCTTTGGTTCGGTGCAGATGGCCATGTCTCGTCTCATCAACCTGCATCATCATCGAATCGCTCAGGTAAGCGAGGGTTGACTGGATGCAAAGGGGAGGAAATATCTCGCTTCAACCCAAAGAAGTGCAGTGATCCTAGCAATTACCTGTTTGTAGGAGTTCCTGGAGAGTGGGAGTAGGCAATCTGTTAGACAGTTAGGTGGTGAAGATAGAAGTGGCAGAGACCAAAAGCACAAAAGGCTCATGGGTAATACATGATCCACCTCCCTGGAATGATCTGATTCATATATTCTGCCAGTGTCTCTTCAAATACACACTCACACTGTGACCAATACCAGATTAGCCCACAGTAGTTTCCTCATTTTTTCCTTTTTGTCCTCTCTTTCCTTTTTTGGTAGTGCCATGAGGTGATGATAACTATTATCGGTGAAGAAGGTATCCCTGTGCAGGTGGATGGGGAAGCCTGGATTCAGAAGCCAGGCCTTATCAAGATTAAATACAAGAATGCTGCCCAGATGTTGATGAGAGATCGGGTAAGCGAAAAGTTCTACTTGAGCGCCTACGTTGCCTCATTCACAGCTACCACATTTCTAGTCAAGAAGAATTCCCCAAAGGGAGCTCTGTGTGCCTTTCTTATCAGGCACCTTGAGTGACGGTTAGAGGTGCATACTTCTAGGTCCCACACCAAACTCTCTGAACTGAAATGGAAAGAGGTGACTCCTAAGAGCTAGCATTTATAAATAAGCTCCCCAAGACATTTTTACTATGTAAAAAGTTGCAAGACACTGTCTGTCTCTCAACAAGGTTGTCCTCCATCCTACATTGCACAGAAAACTAAAGACCTGTGGTGGTGGTGGTGGTGGTGAACTCTACTCTTTCAGTAACAGTTCCTGCAATGAATATGTTCTTTGGGCTTTATAAGATTACTTAATATTGCATTTACAGATGTCACTCATTTCTTCGAAATAAAAAACTACAATGATGGCAAAGATATCATTAGTGACCACGTCTTCAAACTTTGGGGTTATCTTTTGAATTGTGAACATAAATATATCAGTAGAGAGGGAGGGAATACCTACCTAATAAAATGCCAACATCGTGCTGGGCACATTGCATCTATTGCCTGACATAGGTCCTCCCAAAAACCCTATAAGAAAGGTAAAATTCCTTCTATGTTGAGAGCTTAGATACCTTATGAATAGTCACATACCTAGCAAATAAAAAACAACAGGATTGAAAAAAATAAATTTTGTATATCTGAATCTAAATCCCATCACAACATAATATATACCTTTGGAAAAGAATGAAACCCAAAAGATGTTCTTCTGTCTTATCCATCGCCATGTTCTCATAGCTTCTAGAAGGCAAATATTTTGCTTCATTCAAGACTGGTGTCCCATGAGCCAGTGTACTAACAATAAAAACTAAACTGCCTTATAAAGAAGGCACACTGACTAAAAAGACAAGAAGATGGATAAATAGGTGCATAAGGTGAATGGATACCACCTATATCCCATGATACCTACAGAATGTCATACTCATAGACATATCTGCCACATGTCCTCAAAGCTACAACAATCATTACGGTTTGCCGTTATATTCATCTCTAGAACTTTGAGAACTCACTGAAAACGTGGGAATGTAAGCATACTGAAATCCAAGCTATCCCACCACCCCACCTGGACTTCCAGGAATCTCAAGATAGCCTCTCTGATAGCGAGTATGCCCAGATGCAGCACTTGGCTCGGCTTGCAGAAAACCTCATTAGCAGGTAAGAGAACTGGACTTAAAACAGGGTTGGGAAGCCTAAAAATGGATAGGGAGATGCAGTCAGTTGGTGTCTATTGACTACTGGGGAGCTTAGCCTCAGAAAGGAATCTTAAGTGTTTAAAATTAGGGCCCTGACAGTCTGTGCAAGAAGTATTCTTTGTGATTAACAATAAGGTAGTTTTCACACTCCACATTCAAGCCAGAAGTGATTTTTTTATTTCCCTCTGCTTCCCAAGACCCAGCAGGAATAAGGATGTTTATTCTGGGTCAGTAAAATGGTTCAGGAAGTGAAGGTGCTTCTCATCAAGCCTGACCATCTAAGTTTGATCCTTAGGGCCCCACATGATAGAAACAGAGATAGAGCCAACTCCTGCAACTTACACACACACACACACACACACACACACACACACTGGCATATATGTGCAAATATACACGAACAAGCAAAAGTTTACTCTTGCCCTTAACTATTAGAAAGACCTTGAAGTTTTAGCAAGAGTCAGGCATGCTCCTCTATTTTAATTTCTCACTCTATTCAATCTAGCAATATCTAAATCCAAGTTAAACAAACATAAACAAAGGTGAATACTTAGAGAAGATTAGCAACATCTTCTTCACTGGATACCTAATGAAGAACAGAAATAGCAAGAGGGAAGAAAGAGTTCAAATCCAGTACCCAGGGTTTTTGTTTCAATTCTTATCCCAATCTACCAGCTCCTCACACCGTAAATCCATAGCAACAAACTCATCTGGTTTTGCTTTATTACAGACTTAATGACCTGAGCAAGGTCCACCAGCATGTGTCTGTCCTCATGGATTCTGTGAATGCCAGTGCTAACGTCCTGAATGATGTCTTCTATAGCCATGACAGTGGCAATGAGGCAGGTGCAGCTTCCTGTACTCCCATTGAGGTAAGGGGTGAAAAGAAGCAAATGATATAAAGAAGCCAAACTTTAAAGGGAAAGGGGGTTAAAAGGAAAGTGAAACGAAATTAAATGAGGAGCATGTGCAAGTGATAGGATAGAAAACTGATGGGTAAAGTAGATAGGGATTGGGGCCATGGATTCCCAGGTAAAGTGCTTTGCCATGCAAGCAAGAATAACTGAATTATACCCCAAGTGCCCACATTAACAGTCAGGCATGGCGGCATGCATCTTAATTCCTCTGCCTGAAGCAGAGACAGAAGGGTCTTGGAGGCTCTTTAACCAGACAGTCTAGTCATATCAGTGAGTTCCAGCCCCAGTGGCAGACCCTGTCTCAAAAATGTAAGGTGGACGGTAATTGAGAAACACACCCATCTCTGGCCTCTACTGGAACACAGTCACACACACACACAGACACACACATAACCACACAAAAATTGAAAAATAAAGTGATATACTGGGTAAGAATGCAGGAAGTCCTTAGATTGTTACAAGGCCAAGGTGGCTGCTGGGGAAATGGCATGACAAATTTCATCATCTTGAGAAACAGTATTGTTCCTGGTAGCTAGCCCCTACATCAGACTCAAAGTGAAATAGTTAATAAATGGAAAGAAGCATAGTCTTGGACCTTCCTAATTCCAGTTGACTCCCTGTATAATCATATAAGGTCATACCTGCCATTGGAACCAGAGATCCAAGATGCTTTTAATTCCCTTTTGACAGGTCCAGATCAGACATTTACTATTAAATGTGCCATCCCATGCCAATACTCCCTGCCATAAGACTTGGGTGTTGCTTTTAAAATGTGACTTTAGGTTTGGAGATGTACCTTAGTGACAGGGAACGGCCTTGGATATGATGCTTGGTATATGTAAATATATACAAGCACACAGAGACACACAGGCACGCGCACACACACACACATACAGGAGGGGCAGGGAAGGAAGGGAGGGAGGAAAGGATGGAGAGAGAAGTAGGGAGATGGAGGGAGAGAAGGGAGATGAAGGAAAATGAGTAGAACTTCATTAATAGGTAAAAATACAATAGGATCAGGATGTGTTCAAATGTGAGTTAAATTTATTTTAGGCCAAATCCTAGTCGAAGGAGGTCTAAAGGCCATGAGTTTCAAGAAGAGATGTGTATGGTTAGATTTATTTCTATGTGCCATAGGAAAGGCACTTTTAACCTAGGGACAAGTCTCCTGATTTGCAGATTTCCCTCTGGTTTGCAAATTCCCTATTTTCCTGTTACCGACTGTACCCAGTCAGAGACGCCCACTTTGCAGGGCACAGCAATAGAGCTACATTGTTGACAGTTGACCATTGACAGCTGGGGTCAATTCGGATTGGTTGGTGCTCATGCTGGGCCAGCCGTGCTGTATTTTTAATATGACGTTTCCACCTCCAGGCGTGTCCTGTTGGTCTGCTCCTACCTTCCCGTGGAGAAGCCAGCTGCATGCTCACTAACCGGCTCCTCTCTGTCTTGTCCTTTCCCTTCCGCTCCTTTTCCTTTCTTCTCCTCTCAGACTCTAAGCAGAACTGATGCAGTAGATGTTACATTTAGTCTTAAAGGGCTCTACGATGACACCAAAGCTTTCGTGGATGAAAACTTGGTGAGTGCAGGGGGCTGGAGCATGGGAGGGAAAACATCTCTTTTGAATATGGCCACATTCTGTATTGGGTTCCATGGTGCTAGAGGCTTATGATCATTGTAAGTAGGTGCTTGCCTGGTGATTTCAGTCATTCTGGTCGTGATTGCTGTCATCCAGTATTTGTTACCTGAATGTGTTACTGTTTGTGTTATGTCAAACACATAGAGACTACCGTATTTTAGATGAAATTGGTCAATGTCTCCTGGGCAAAGACTAGGCCCACCAGATGCAGGGTGCTCTCATTATACCCGATAAAGCTTCAAGTGAGAAAAGTGAGCTCCTCAGAGATGCTCTTCTCTCGGGTCTGTAAGTGTCACCTTCTCCATGGAGAAAGTAGCAGGAAGTAGGGGAAGTTTTGAGGGCTCTGAGCTCAAATACAAATTAGCTCCCTCCATTAGTATCTTTCCAAGGCTTCCATGGGTAAGTACCAAGTACTATATGACTTTAAATAACACAATCTTACTATCTCATCATTCTGGAAACCCCAACATTCAAACACAAATTGCAAGCAGGCTCATGATCCCTCTAAAAACCCTAGAGGAAGCTTTCTTTGCTTTTTCTTAGCTCTGACCATTTGTTTCTGGCAATCTTTGTTGGTCCTTACCTTATAAGTGCACCACTCTTGTCCTGTCTTCCATCTTCAATGTCTCTGTCTTCACATGGCCATATTCTGCCAGAGTCACTGATAGTAATGGACTAAGGCCTGCCCTGTCTAGTATGACCTCAGATAGTGAGGTATAAATTCAATGACTATAATTTCACGTAAGTGTGCATTCTGAAGAAGTAGAGAATAGGATTTTAATGTATCTCTTGAGAAGAACACAACATAACCCACTTAAGGTACAATACTTGGTTGTTTATATAAATCCTCTAAACAAACTGTAAAGGTAGGGATTATAATTCCTATCTTGGAGATAGAGGAAGCAAATGCAAAGAGGTATAGCTACACTATACCTTCTCAAGAGATACAGGCCAAAGGTATGTAAGGTATTGCATGACTATTGGAGAGAGTAAGAGGAATTATGTATTCACACTACCTGATATACACAGTGTGCTCAAAACTTAGTGATAGCTCTTACTTAGGAGGATGCTGATATGGCCTCAAAGACTGGAAGTCAAGAGTGGGACCCTTGTTGTAGACATTAAGCTAAAGCACGGTGCTAATTCATGCCAGAGAAAAGACCTTCACTTGTGAAACCTAGCATGCCCAGCTCCAAAGAGACCTCTGCCATCTGACTATTTCCTGGGCCTTCTTGTTGAAAAAGGAGCTGTTTAAAGCTAGTATTAATTTTGATAAGTAAACAATCTGATTGTAGGCCAAATGAGCTATAATTTGTCACCACCATTATAAGTGTGTTGTTACCTGTATGATCTCTTGGTCACTAGCATGGACTCAGAGTGGAGTCTAAGGTAAAGTGCTAAGAAATGTGTATTCACTGTTCTCCCTGTCTATGCCAGTTGAGAGATGCTGAGGATGAGGCCACCCTAAAAAATGCCCTGGAGGCCATGAATACGGAGCTGCGAAGGATATTGGCAATTGACTGGTTGGGTCAAATCCTTCTTCGAGAGGTGCGTAACCTGGGGAATGGGACTTTCCCTTGGTGTAAAGTCATAGTATGGGGCCAGTACATGGGACGGATGTCGCAGAGGCCCATCTTGATGCAGTGACCTTTAGCTTCCGCTTTAATGAACCATCCTCCCCTTCATACCCTCACCATAAGTGGACAGAAAAAGGAAGCAAAAATGAGCAAGTAGGTGAGCATGGAAAAATAACCAGGAAGAAGACCATTCTAAAGCAAGAAAAAAATAAAGAAAGCTCATGTTGCTGTCTAGGCTACAAGCTCTCCCTGCTCGGTGTCTGCTGCCAGAACTAAACTGTATCTGGTACATACTGGCATAAACACCCCAGGTGTTTGCTGGTAGCTGTTGTAAATGGTTGACATCTAGGTAGTTGAATCTTCCAACACCTCCTCCTCCTGTTGCTACCTGACCCCCCATTGCATCTCACATTTAATATGTGGCATAGAAGGAAAATCAAACATTGTAACAGATACATAGTTTGAGAGATGCTGTCAATTTTGGACTACTTTGAGTACTCTTCTGAGATTGGAAACTTTCATATTCACTCATAAGCCAAATATCCCAAAGATGGCCACCTATAACAAAGTAAAGTATTCACTTCATGATCTGACAGAGGTTGTCTCAAAAGTTTTTCACCGTAAAAACATTCATCTCAAATTTTAGGATCCCTGCCTGCCTTCTCACATCTATTTTATGAATGCAAATGCCAGTTGAATGTAGTCACACAAGCATGTTTGGAATAGTGCAGACGCAAGGCCACTATTTCAGAAGGAAATTCATATGCAAATTCAAGTCTTAAAGCAATGGTTCTCAACCTGTGGGTTGGGGCCGCAGAGCCCATTAGAAAACACAGATATTTACATTATGATTCATAGCAGTAGCAAAATTACAGTTCATGAAGCAGCAAAGAAATATTTTTATGGTTGGGGGTCACCATAAAGCGAGGAAGCTGTTTTAAGGGTCACAGCATTAGGAAGGCTGAGAACCACTTATTATCTTAAAAGGTTTACCAGTCTTTGGTGATTACAAGGCCTGGTGTATTTCAGGTTTTTATCAGTAACTTTCTGGAGAAGGAAGACGTTCTGTTAGACAATAAGCAAAGCAAATTCTCACTCTTCTTTCCATTACTACCTGCCTCTACCATCTCCCATTAAACTCCTGAGCTAAGTAAACTCACTGGATAGTGAGAGAAATGAGACAAATTCAGCCTATACCCTGGGGTCCTGATTTCCATGTGAATCTTCCTCACCTGGGACAGAAAACTCTTTTCTGAGCTCCAGTATTTCCAGAGAAGCAAAGCCCCGGAGAAAGGAAGCAGACCGAACAGAAGCCAGAGATGTTGCTCACACTAAACTCCCCACCTTGAGATTACAGAAGGTTCAGACCCACTTTTCTGGGGGAGATCAGGACAAGAGTCAATTGTTGGTCTTTTCAAGACTCTAGCTGAGGGTAAGGGCCTGTTCTCGTCCTTGAAGCTGTTTGTACAAGGCACTTCTGGACGCCGGGGTATACAGCTGGGAGCAGCATTAGAGAAGCAAGGAAGTCAGTGCAAGAAGAGGAGGAAGATAAATTTGGACTCTTCCCCCGATGGAAGGTATTGGAGGCATAACTAATCCTCAAAGGAAGATGACTCCAAAACCTCTTTCTTGTAATGTGTTTGGCTAGATTTTCTGGCAATAAATCAACTTCAGGATCATTTTGCTAGCAACAGAAGTAAAATAAGAATGCTTTTACAGAAACAAGATATAAGTTGGCGAATGAACTGGAATTACAGAGCCTGTGTTGTCTGCACAGGAAAGAACTCACATTCAAAATTAGTAAGTTTGTTTAGAGAATCCTGCATTCCAGCCAGAAAAATAGGTCGCCTGTGAGGCAGTGTCTTCCCTATAAGAGGAGGCTTGGCTGGGGAACAAATAGGAGCTCTCAACTAGAGGTGGGAGAAATGGAATGCATTTCCTAATTTATAAAGAACTGTCATACAAGCAACAGTGACCTCAACAATCCAGGCGACCTCACATACAAAGGTCAAGCTCTGAACCTTTGCTTTTTTGGTTTTTCCTTTCTTTGTTTTCTCAATAAACTTGGAAGAGTGTACAGCTTTGTTTGCTTCCTCCTCTTCCCCTACTCCTGCTTGCACAGCCATGCCTTAACTCTGAGCATTTGCTGCTTTTCTAATCCAGGAATGATAGTATCCATTTTCCAGGTTGCCTTGAGGCTTGTGTAAGGAGTATTTATTGATATATCCAGAAAGGCACAGGGTCCAGAGTGGGCGCTTGCTGAAGCTCAATCTCTTTATTAGGACATATGACTAGTGAGAAGGGACAGCTCTCCTACCTGGGCTGAGAGGAGCTCTGCCTGCTTCCTGAAGTCCTTCTCCATCACATTAAAGAGACACACAAGTTCTTTCAGAATGTCACCTAACATTTTGACCTGACTCTTGCTCTGCTTCCCCAGGAGCACTCTTCTGACGCCAACAGTCTAACTCGCAGATTGAGAGTTCGATTCCCCAAGTTGGGGAGGAAGAAGCGAGAAGGGGGAGGAAAGTCGAAATCAAAGCCAAGACTCCCTGGTTTTTTCAGTAAGTCAATTACACACACGTAGAGGACATGAACAGCAGCTTGGATACCTCCAAGAGACCTGAAAGTACCCTCAGAAATGTGCATGGGTGTGTCAGAGAGGGAGGCTCTGGGAAGAAGCCAATATTAGATAATGCCAAGTAAGTTAGAGAATGAGATGGATACTGGCTAGTAAGGGGTGAACCTGAGAAGGAATGGTGCTGTGTGGGCTAGCAAGGAAAACTGCATTCAGACTGCTTGACCCATTCCTAAGATGTTAGGGAAAGGTTTTTGGCCCTGTCAAAAATCCCTTCTCCCTGTTAAATAGAGTCCCTGGATATGCAAATCTCTTACTATATAAATTTTGTGTTTTTTGCCATTCTATTTATTACTGGTCTGAAGTACTGTGAATGGGAAAGTACCATGAAAAGAAATGTGAATGGGACACAAAAGAAGACTCTACTAGAATTGTCGGTTGTCCCAATTCTGATGTGCTTAGGCAACATGGAAGCTTCAAAGATATAGCATTAGCAGACATGTGAAAACAGGGCAAGAGAACAACAGTTTGTTTTAGTTTTAATAAATAGGGTTTTTTTCTGATGTCAAGAGAAAATTTTTTGGACCTAACTATATCTTTTCTTGGGTATGGTCCAACTGGTTTGATTCCTTAAGAATCTGATATTTGGAAATCTCTGGTGTGAGTCCATAGTAGTTCCATAGATAATCAGATTCTAAGAATTAATCCTATTTGCATTTAGTTTGTGTGGTCTCCAGTGGCTTCCTCTTTGATTCAGAGATGGTAGGTCCAGTAGGAACAAACTAGTATGTCTCCCGCCACTCTGCCCCCTCTAGGGAGAGAACATTTAAGCATTTGGCAAAGTCCTAACTTCATTATTTCTCTACCCCCCCCCCTTTTTTGACTCTGAAGGCAAGTTCTGGCGTCGCAGAAATCGTGGCAATGCAGCAAAAGATAATGACTCTCCAACACCTTCAGGTTCTCAGCTGTAGTCCTTGAAAGCTGGAAGAACTCTCAACAGAGAATTTTACTAAAAACTCTCAAAACCTCAAGAAAGACTGAACTATATTATATCAGAACAAAAATGAGCACCACCAAGAAAGACCCTCCAAATCCTTATACTAATATATTTTCCCTGGACTTAATCAGATCTCCTTAGAGGGTTACATTTTCTTGTTGGCCAAAGATTATTGTTCCGAGTTGTTTTATTCAGTTCTCCTTCTCTTTGTGTACCTTGAGCAACTACACTGTTTACTGGGGATAGATTCTTTGTGAACAGCCTGGGACCGATAAGTATTGTGGGAGTACACTGCTTTAGGAAGTGTTGGAATGGTTTTCTTTCACTAGCAGAGAAACTTCTGACACCAAGGAATGAAATGAGTAACCAACTCTCAGAAAGATGAAGGGGCAGGGTATTCAGGCTTGGTTGTGTTTCTCCTCCAATCCCTGCCGAATGCAACTGGAAATTTCAAAAGATGGCTCCTAGTTGGCTCAAGAAGATGAGAACAAGGTCCTGGAGGCTTATCCATTTGTATGTTAAAATGATCATGTGAACATTTCCTTGTAGATATGAGCCTCTCCTCCTCTCCTCTCCTCCCCTTGCCTCCCCTTTCCCACCTTTCCTATTTTCTCTCATTTTCTCTCCTTTCTTCTTCTCTTCCTCACTAACCTTCCATCTCATCTTGTTTCCCCCTCTCTCCCCTTCTTCTCCTCTACTTCTGCTTCCTCCCCTTTCCCCATAGACTCTTCATGTTTTCCCATGTGTACATGTATGTCTTTGCACATGTCAAGGTGGTGCTCTCGTGGCTGGGTGAGCCCACTGGTTGGAACTCACCCCTCATGGCAACCATACAGGCTCTTGTCCTTTTACCTTGATCCTAGCCTGCATGCCTCCATGGAGTACTTGCCTGCATTCTCGCTGGATTTTTTAACTAACTGTTTTGCCGCTGTGCCGCAGTATAGATTATATACAGAGACATAAAGATGTACATATATATATATTTTTAGGAACTGAAAATACAACTCGACCTAAGTGACCCTCTAATTTATTGTGATAGCCCAGTAATCCCTCCCCTTCCCTATTACCCTACACAAATACACAGCTCTACCAACTGCCCGAGCTCTCGGTGGAGCTTCTAATCTTTTGGTGCATTTGTAGTGTCTTAGAAGTAGCTGGAGTCTACAGATAGCCCAGCTAATTCTGACATCCACTTAAAATACTGAGCCAGGTCACAGAAAGGGAACAAAAACACCAACGCCCTGCAGAGGGGCCAAGCTGGCATGCTGCCATTTGCTCTGTTTCTCCTGGCTCTGTATCAGCAACTGCCCAAGTTTTATTGCCCCCTTCCTCAGTAAAAATAATTTCAAAGAGCTCCACCCTTTAGATAACTAAGTTAGGGCCTACTAACCCACCACAGCCTGTGCTTAATTTGGGCCTGCAGCTATTGGGTAGGCTGTTGGGTCACTCTTTAAATTACTTTCAAATCTCATGTCTTGTCCCCTTTCCCCCTGAATAGAAAAGTCAGGGTGACTGGAAGGAAGATGGCTAAAAGCCTCAGCTTCCCTACTGTTCTGCTTCCGGTTTTTCATGAAAACATAGTAGGCCTAAATGGCTCCAAATCTTAATTTGAATCTTTTTGTTTTAAGTGTACAATCTCGGTCAGGTAAACTAATGAAAGTCCAGTGCTCAGAGAGAATGTCTCGGGCCTGCCGCTCATCCCCACCCTCAAGTCATACCTTTTAGAAAGTGTCCCTTCCCACTTCTCAAGAAAAATCCAGACAACTGCCCTCTTCTCACTGCTCAGTCAAACTTAGTGTGCTCAATTATCTGACTCAGTCCAATGGCTGGTTCCCTGAGGTGCACAATCCAGACTCCGATCACTGGTTCTTAACTTTCTAGAATTCCACCAGCCTAACCCTCTTAAACCAGCTGCCTGTGTTCCACCTCTTCAAGGGTGAGAAAAAGAGACTAACAACAGGGTATTCCCCCAATGTCTGATAGCTTTGCCAAACAAAACTGTCCTAGCTATACAGCTAGAGAAGAAACTCAATGGGAAAAGATGACAGAAAACATTTAAAACTTAAATATCAGAATGTGTAATGTGTTGACAGTGTATATATTTAAGTGGAGTGTGCAGTTGCAATGTCTTTGGTTTTCTCTTACCACTCTTTTTTCAAAGGAGGAGGTATCAGATCAAACCACCAAGGCCATTGTTCCTCCTTGGCGGCAGGAACTAATTCCATGCTCGCACATACACTCACACAGTTGGGAACCGTGTTGAATTTTCTCAGAAGAGTCTTTACCAAAATGGATCACTTATAAATAAGCAAATTTAAAGAAACAGAAGGAAATCTTAGGAAACAGTAGCCTTCCCTTGGTAATAACTAAGCAGGGCTATGTCTTGTAATTATTTTTATCGCAAATGATAGTCAAACATAATAGGAATCCATCTTTGCTTATTTTGCTGAAGTACTGTAGGTCCTTGTGTACTGTGATACTGCTGTTGCTCTGTTGTACCATCTGAAGTCCCGCTCATTTTCCACCCCGTTCTCCCATCTGAGTCAGAATAATATTGAAGGACACCTATAGGATGGGGACTAGAAGGAAATGTGGAGCAAAACTGATAAGCTAAGTGTGGCTTCTTAAAATGGTCCAGATACCATCGAAATTGTTTAGTTACTAATTGTTTCCTGAAAAGGAAGCTGGCATACTAAGAACTTGTTCACACATCTACTTGGAAACAAAACAAGAAGAGATCTCTGTGTGTGTGTGTGTCTTTTTCCCTCCTTCTCCCATTCTCTCTCTCTCTCTTTCCCTCTCTCTCCCTCTCTCTCTCCCCCCTCCTTCTGTTTCTCCCTCTCTCCCATTCTCTCTCCCATTCTCCCTCTCTCCCATTCTCCCATTCTCTCTCTGTTCCATTCTCTCTCTCTCTCTCTCTCTCTCTCTCTCTCTCTCTCTCTTTTCCTTAGCCCTTGAGATCATGGGCTTCTTTCAGGATTTCATTGTTAACTATTTGAAGTAATACAGTTGCTCAGGTGGTGGGACCAGACACCAAGTATCCACCACAGTTATGTACAGAAATCATTAAGAATCAAAGTTCTGGGGTTTGGTTGTATCTTTGGTAGCACTGTCTGTAGAACTAATTGTCTAATTCTTGGCCAGAAGGACAGCAGGAAAGGAAAAATCTGAATAGAGTTGTCACCAACTTCTGGCATCGATACTGTAAGAGGCATAAAACTACCCATCAAGGTCCTCTACTACACCCAAAAGGGCAAGGGAAGAATAAAGAGGATATTTTTGGCATACTAAAATTGACTAGAAGAAACAACTGGGGATCAACATCATCCTCCCTTCGGACACAGTAGAATTTTAGTTGTGTAACAGACAGAAACTAATACCAAAGAAATCAGACCCCATTCACATCTTTTCACTGAACAAGGGACCTTGATTGGCTATCTGGTTTGTGGAGTTGCATTTGTTTGCTAATCTGTAACACATTGTTGTTTACTATTATGTGTTCTGTGTTTTCTCAGAGGCCCTGCAAATAGTAGCAGGGCGAGGGCCTGGTCAGGGGAGGAAGCTGGAATAGTCATGGAATAACAGAAAAAACAACACAAAAGGAAAAGATCCACAAAGCGTGCCTATTCCTCTTAGCCCTCCTCATCAAATGGAACGCCAGTCCTCAAAATCAATTCAGTGATTGCTTCTTAAAGTATTTTAATAAATGGATAAATATCAACAATACCTACATCTCATCATTTCTTTCAACAGGGTAGGGGAGCAGTTGAATGGGGCTTGATGTGAGTTAGGGGATTGGGGTGGTCCTTCAAGCTCTCAATAGGTCACCTACAGGTACCAGTGGAAGGAAAGACCAGACAACAAAACACAAAGCAAGACTGGCCCTAAAGGTGCTGCTGAAACTGGTTATAAAACCTAGCTGCAAAGTAGCATATTTCTGTGGGGAAATACGTGCCACCATTATTGCTATAGATGCCAGTTCTCTGCGATATACAGACAGATCTCAGGAAAGTCAGGTAGTGGAAGAGCAGAGTAAGATGAAGGAGTATACCCTAGGCTGCTATAAAGAAGTCAAAGACAGCTTGAAAGCACTTTAAAATGCAGTGTGCTCTCCTAACCCAAACAATAAATGTTTCTCTCCCCTCCAATGGTGTTAAAGTTGGAAGGAGTCTCTTCAGAACCACAACTGAAAATAGTTTAGGGTCACTGAGATGGAACAGCAGGTAAAGGGGCTTTCTGCCAAGTCTGATGATCTGAGTTCAGTCTCTAGAACACACATGACTCCCATATGTTATCCTCTGATCAGACACATGTGCTGCACCATGTACACACACACACACACACACACACACACACACACACACACACACACACTGTAATAAAAATGCTTTAATTTCTGGCACATATTTGCAGTCATCTTGGGAATTCAGATATTAATTACATTTACTGCACAGGCAACTAGGGATATAGCAGACCAGGATTTCACATAAAGTAAGGGTAAGAATTCAAGTCATAAATCCTTAACTTGCCAAATGCTAAAAATGATTTCTCATTTAGAGACAATGCATTTTTAACAGGACCACATTTTGGGCTATCCTTATAAAAAAACCAAACTCCTGGGCTTTCGGGGTGGGTGGTAAACAGTTCTGCTGTGGAGGATATAGCAGGCTAGACCCTGTGATCCATATTAAGACTTTTGTTTTGCATATATCAGACTATTGAAACACTATTATAATTGGACATCTCATCTCAGTCAGAATGGCCAAGATCAAAAAACAACTGAAAAAAATATGTTGGCAAGGATGGGGGCCGGGAACCCTCACTCACCTTTGCTGGGACAGAAAACTAGTCAAGGTAGTCTGAAATCACTGTGCAGAGGTCTCAGAAAGGTAAATGCAAATCTACCATTACTCAACTATTCCGCTTCTTGCCCTATGCCCAAAGGATTCGACATCATACTCCACAGCTACTTGTTCATAGCGGCCCTGTTCACAATAGCTAGAAAATGGAACCAGTCTAAATATCCTTCAAGTGATAAATAGATACTGACAATGTGGTACATATACACAATAGAATACCATTCAGCTGTATAGAAAAATGAAATCATGAACTTCCTGGGTAAATAGGTGAAACTAGAATAAATTATACTGAGGGAGACAACCAAGCCCC